GACAGACGATGGAGGTTATCTGCCCTTTTGAATTTACATGCCTATGCGTCTTCTCATAGCAGCTCAGGTTGTACAATACAGTAAAATCTGGCTACAGAGATTCTAATATTGGATGAAATAAACAAATTTATAGTGGTATAATACTGAATACCAATTCAAAGTGATTTCACTCTCCTAATGAATGTTTGCAAAATTTTAGCAACTGACATCCATACTGGCAGGCTTTGTGACACAAGAGTTCTGTCTGTCTGCCATACTGCACAGGGTTATCTCCAGTGCTCCTACAGCCTTCACAAAAGCATAGAGCACAATTATTACTAGTGTTACACCGCAGATGGATAATTTGCAGGAATTCAGTTACTGTTGGGTAACATGTGACATCATGGCTTCCTCTGGATAACTAGCATAAGCTTTAGTGCTACGTATTTCCTCAGCCTGTTCTAGGCTAACTTTTTATATTTTTTACTCTGGTCAGCTGAGGCCAAGATAAAATGCTCTTGGTTTTAAGACATAAATCTACCCACTAAATACTCCTCATGTCATACACTGACGTACATGGATTTCTCAAAAAAAAAAAAAAAGAGACTGTGATCTGAGTGATAACAGGTCTTTCATGTGCTGCATCTCTGCACGTCTCGCCCACTCATAATTTTGCTTCAGCTTGGAGATAGGCACTGCTAACAAGAACTAGGCACATCACAGCCAATCAGTACAAACCCTGGTGAAGAATATATTCAGACAGTAAAGGCAGGAGTGTAATGATCTGTGAAAGGGAAAAAGCACTACATAACATATTCTCTTTCATCATTTTTAGACAGATCTGTTTTTTATTTTGCAATTGTTTTTCTTTTTTCACCAGAATTTGCACCTATTCAGAGGGCTATCAGCTTCCTCTCCGCCATGCCTTAGACAGAGCCCAAACTCTGGGCTCCCTTTCTATTGGCTATGATGGGGGGAAAAAGCTTCTGCTAAAGTGAAAGCCAAACAAAAAGGCTAAACTGCACTAAACTTTGGGAGAAACATTTGCACTCTTAATAGGAGTCTTAATATATGTCTATGTACAAAAATAACATCAGACAGCATCCTTTTAAAAAAGTTAAATATATATAGACTGTTTGAATAATTGCACAAACTAACCATTTCAACAGCTTATAAATATCACACATTCAATTTTCATAAACAAGTTACAATCCAGTTTAGCAGTTCTCAATGTATTCAACATTGTTTTGGAACAGACTCAAATGCAACACACTTTACGTTTCATAAAAACCATGTGCAGATACAAACACACTTCAGACACAAACAGTAAACAGTTCAAGTTACATTCACTTCGTGGTAACAAAGTCAACCAGCTGCTTCATGCAGTACGCTGGAATATAGCAAGGCCATGTGAAAGCCTCCATCCTTCCCCTAACACAGATCATCAACAACCAAGTTACAATACAGTCACATAAAAATACTCTTTAAGCACAAATAAAACCTTTAAGCCTGTCACAGTCCAGTTCTCTCAAACTTCCAAACCAACATATTCTATAAGTATTTTTATGAGCTCATCAGAAAAAAAAATAAGCACATGAAGAAAAGGCTCAATCTGCTTTGTATAGGCTAGTCTAACACATTAATTCATGAGTTCACAAATTCTCTAATTCCTAACTCACACACATACAAGCAAAACAGTTCCCTAGCTAATGGTGAGAGTGCTCCTGCTTGCTCCTCTCTCCTGGTGCAGCTGGTTCCTTGCGCCACACCAGGAAACATGAAGGCCTCAACAAGTCCATCTGCTGTTGGACCTGCACCAAAAACTTTTTAGATAAGCTGATGTATCTCTGACTTCCAGCTTGGAAGTTTGGTCTACAGAATTTCCGTATGTTAGTGTATTCTAAAGAAACTGCAAGACAGGTACTTTGCAAAGATAAAGATGCAAGTGATGAGGGGTGCAGCAAACACCACCCCACAAGTGGCAATGGCTGCGGGATGGCCCATGTACTCTTTCTGCCTACTGAGTCCTGCATAGGTGTTGCTCTTGCTTTGTCCTAATGGCGCTGCTTCCAGCATATGCTAGGTCTTAGCAAGAGCTCTGTTAGCAAAACCTGAGCAGGAGTTGATGAATAATCACAAACCTAGTACTACATCAACAAGGTTTCAGGTGTGAATGTCAAACCTCCCATTTTGGCATAAATCCATCTGTCAGAATTGTAACAAAAATAAAGTAACATATTTCAATCACAATACATGTGCAAAAGTGCCCTGAAAAAATAGAACAAAAAGTAGCTTTGGCTAACGCTACTAGCTTACACAGTTTTTATAAAAATACAAATAAAGTAGGTAAAAATAAGGAGAATTTTTGCAGCTCACCTGTATCAATTTACCATCTTTTTGCTAATGCATACTGCTTTTGCTTGTATCGACGCTTTCACAAGCCATTTCATTTTACAGAAGGTAACAAATCACACAAAACTGACTGTCACTGAGAAGTGATTCTCGAATTTGTAATGCGAAGTGCTATGCTCGCAATGGATCTCATGGCACAGGTAGAAATCTTGTGACAAACTCCAGCCTGGGAGATGTAGTTGGAAGCTAACCGGTACAGCCTTTCTGCCCCAAATATGTTAAAGTGCCCAGGTAGTACCTTCTCCACAAGTCCTCTGTCCACTAACTCCATAAGGCGCTGGCAGCTTGCAACATAGTCACTGATTCTACTGTAGGGCAGCCAGTCAATCATGGATCCATCATACACCACGTCCCCACTGAACAGAATCTTCCTGTCCTTGTCATGTAAGCAAATACTGCCCCTGGAATGACCAGGCATGTGCATGACAGTGAGCTGTCGATCTCCAAGGCTGATCACATCCCCTGCAAACAGATTTGTTACAGGAAAACATATGAATTTATCATGTTCGTTAAACACCTACCCACAGGCAAAGATTTATAAATACTATTATAAACACTATCTATAAATAATAAATATCTGCAACAACAGAAGCAGGGCATTTATTTTCTTGGTGAGTGCCAAAGAGGTGTCTGAAAGATATGCTTGACAAAAAGGTATTTTCCAATGATACTAATAGTTAACACAGGCTTGGTCTGTATTAATGGAATCTATTCCCACTCTAATAAATTAAATAATGTGAAAAGCAATGGAATGGAGAAAATAAAACAGGAAACAAACAGAACACATCTAAGATGAGTTTCCTTTGAAAAGTTTAAAAGGTAAGTATTTTACAATTTATTATCATTTTATCCTCACTTAAATCACCTAGAATTGCATTCTAGGCAAAAGGAAAGGCAAAAGGAAAGAACATAAACTGCTGGAGGAGAATCAAGACTGGCCTCCACACACATTCTTCATCTCATTCAATAAGATATAAAAATAGACATTTCTTAACATTAGGTAATTTTTTGCCAGTTTAAATGTGAAGTCACTTTCATTAAACCAGCCACTGAACTGATAATTTCAGCAGAAAGTCAGTCTCATGTCTCAGTGAACATTATTTTAGAAACTTTGATATTGTGTTGATACTTAAATGCTTGCGCTTTCACAAGATTATTTTAATAATCCTTTCCTTTTAAAGAAAAAAAGCCTTAAATTTCTGTTGATTTACTACAGCTAAGTGTCACATCAGCTCTTCACTGAATCCTTCAGTAAGTTCAGTTCTGCTTTTCCAAGCACCTATGTGGGATGGTCTAATAAAGCCAAGAGAGTAAGTTCCCAGCCAAAGGTGTCACTTGTCTGTCAGACACCTATCCTTTAACTTCTGCTGCACTGTATTGTACAGTTTAGGTGGTTTGTTGTGAAAAAAACTAGTCCTGTCACCTGTGAAAGACTAAATGGCTTCTCTGATCTGCAACAAGCCACTTCTGTAAATGTTACATCAGTAATAAGCCACTTTTTACAGACGTTTAACATAATTCACGTAAAATTCTGTAAATGCCTGTAAATTCGGTAGAAAGAAAACTGTATCCACAGTACATATTTCAAGAAACTGTTAATTGCATTGCTGTGTCTTGGCAGCTTATAAATAAGGGTCGCCAGATGGCAGATCTGATTGACTCGGTGACACACTGTTCGAAGCCTGAGGATAAACCTGTGGTACTCAATTAAGTCACTTAAATCACTGTTGAGCGATTCTTATTCTAATGGAGAAAAAACCAAACCAAAACCCACAAAAAACACCCAAACAAATAAAAAGAAACAACTAAAAAGCCCCCCAAAATAAACAACCCAGCACCCTCCAAAAAACAAACAAACAAAAAAAAAGGGGAAAAAAACCCCAAACCAACCAAACAAAACCACCCTGATGCCAAATACTTTCAGAACTGCTGGAAACGAGGTTTAACCCACTATGCGTCTCCTTCGTCCCTGCTGACCGCGGCTTGTAGGTCGATGGGAGTGAAAAAACACACCGGTTTAACTATTTTATACGAGGAGCCGAGTAAAGCAGGACGCGCAGGGCGGCAGAGACGCAGCTCCAGGGTGGATAACCAGAGCTCCCGGTTCCTCACCTTCCTGCAGGAGGCGGCTGGGCCGCACGGGCGGGACGCGGAACTGCCGCGCGCTCCAGCCGGGCTGCGGCGGCCGCGCCACCTCCCGGTCCGACAGCCACGTCACGGCCTCATAGTTGTCGCCGCGCAGCAGCGCGGCCGCCTCGGCGCTGTGCACCGCCACCTCCTCGAAGTGCTGCAGCCCACCCGAGTGGTCGAAGTGGACGTGCGTGGCCACGGCCAGCAGCGGGCGCGGCCCAGCGCCCTCGGCCGGCGCCAGCAGCCCGGAGTCGCGCAGGTAGTCGGGCAGGCTGCGCAGCCCCAGCCCGGCGTCGATCACCACGTCCCGCTGCGAGCCCCGCACCAGCCAGATGTTGGCCCGGTTGCCGGACTCGTAGAAGCGCTCCTGGATCCAGAAGATGCCGCCGCCCAGGGGCTTGTGCGCGAACCACTCCAACGCCGACATGGCCCAGCCGCCGCTGATCGGCGACGGAGCACCCCCAACGTTCCGCCGGCGGCGGGCGGGGCTGGCACGGCCCGGCCCACTGCGGCACGGGGGGCGGAGCGCGAAGGTTGAGAAGCGGGGGAGCCTTGAAGGGTCGGTGGGCTTGGCTGCGGCGTGAGGGGGCTGAATCCCCTTCCCTGCCGGGGCAGTACCCGGGGGAGGTGGCTGAGACCCGCCCTCGGGTGGGGGGATAAAGCCAAAACGCCCTGGGCCCTTCGGGGACTCCTGACGGGTTGGGGCGGGGCGTGGCGGGCGGTCAGCGAGGGGAGAGGGAGCGGGAAAGGGACGGAGAGGAGCCGCGTATCCTCACACGGCAGGGATTAGTGACCGTCGTGACAAACCCGTTTACCTTCAGGGACGTCAGATTAAAAAAAATAAACACCCACAAAAACTTAGTATCTAAAGTTCGCTCCTTTCTTCTGTATATGCTCTTCCCTTCAACTGATTGCACCTGCTTGTGAAATGCAAGGGTCTACGATCCACAAAACACAATCGGGTGATTCGTTCTGAGGATACCGGGAACCCGCGGGAGTGCTCAGCCTCCTCCCGTCCGCTGCCGTCCCTCCAGCCGCCTCGCAGCTGCCAGGGATCCCGATTCCAGAGGCCTTTCCCTCCCCAAGGCATCGGCTACCTTCCCCTGAGTGAGTGCCCGAGAAACTGAATACGTAAGTTTGAAGAGGTTTTAAAAGCTTAAATCTGAAAATCTTCTCATTTATAGAGTAAATAACACACAAACTACCCATAAATATGAAAATGCCCCCAGGTGCTCCATTAGACATCCCTCGTGGCAGCCAGAGCGCTAGTTGTAACTTTGTCATGCTTGGTGGCTCAGTTGTTCAACTTTACTTTCCCTTCACGATTTATCCGGTCATCTGTCACTGTCAATTTATGCCATCAGTAGACATAAACCTTCTAAGCCAGTATGCTTGAAAAAAACACAAGTTTGGATAAAAATTTGGAGTTGAAATACTGCTAGTTTTAAACCTTGTTACTTCTCATCAGACTAATGCTCTTTTTCAAGGGAATTTACTCAGAATTAATTTTAAAGCAGCATTTTAAAAATCAACCTTTGTATTCACTACATTTAATGTAGAGCACCTCTCTCTGTGGTAGCTCAACTTTTATTTTGTTGTGTTGTTCTGTTGTTGGACTCAAAGTGGGGATAGTACTTAAATTTATTACTAACAGGATAAGAGCCAAAGAGTGAGAAATAAAACAGTCTTAAAAACATCTTCCCCCCACCCCTCCTTCCATGTTCTCCCTCCTCCCCCGCAGCGGTGCAGGGGGAAGGGGAATGGGGGCTGCAGTCAGCTGTTGTTTCTGCCACTGCTCAGAGACAGGAGTCCTTCCCTTGCTTCTGTGGGCTCCCTCCCATGGGAGGCAATCCTTGATGGATCTCTCCAGCGTGAGTCCATCCGTCGGGCAGCAGTTCTTCCCAAACTGCTGTACTGTGGGTCACTCCTCCATGGGGTGCAGTCCTTCACAAATGAGCTATACTGATGTGGGTCCCCCACAGGGGCCACAAGTCCTACCCAGGAAAAACCTACTCCAGTGTGGGCTTCCCTCTCCACAGGCTGCAGGTATCAGGCAGGACCCTGCTCCATCTTGGGCCTCCCACAGGATCACAGCCTCCTTCATGCATCCACCTGCTCCAGCATGGGCTCCTCCCTGGGCTGCAGGGGCACAGCTGCTCCACCATGGTCTGCACCACGGGCTGCAGGGCCTCAGCTCTGGCACCTGGAGCACCTCCTGCCCCTCCTTCTGCACTGACCTTGGTGTCTACTTTGTTGTTCCCATGTTCTCACTCCACTCTTCCCTGGCTGGAATTCTTTCTGCAGAACAACCTTCTGTTCTTAAATATGTTATCACAGAGGTGTTACTATTACTCCTAATTGTTTTGGCCTTGGCCAGTGGCAGGAAGTTCGTCCTGGAACTGGCTGGCATTGGCTTCACAAGTCAGGGGAAGCTTCTAGCAGCTTCTAACAGAAGCCACCCCTGTAGGCCTCCCCCGCTACTAAAACCCAGACACAGAAACCCACTACACGCACTTAGATAATATAATTGCTCACATTTGGGGCTTGACTGTATCTTTTATCTTTCTCCATTCTGCAAGGCTCACATCTTGCTTTTCATCCTATTTTCAAAGGAGTTTGCTTCTTTTTTATTTTCCTTTTTTTTTTCTACATTCCAGTTAATTACATGCTTAGCCCTAGCTTTTGCTTTGTTTTCTTTCCTAAAAATGATTTATTTAGGGGTCTTTGCTTAGTTGTAGACAGTATTCTGTGCTTCAGAGTGCCATGGAAGTAGATAATGTAATTTTGTTTGATCCAAACAGAGCTTATTTCTCTTGAAAATCACAACGGGAAAAAACTGGCATCAACCTGTTTCTCACTGGCATGTAATAGAAAGGCCATTGCTTCTGTTTAGGGAGAACTAGTTGTGATGATGCAGGTACAGCAGTAGGTATGGAACAGACCTGTTCATACTAAGCAAGGTGCAGTACAGTGACCTTGCAGTCAATGATAAATAGCTTGTGGTATTCCTAGGCTGGGGCCTTGAACTAATCTCTATGTGGCCTTGGGCTGTGAGCAGTAGCACACTGCTCCATCCAAGCTTCTCTTGGATCACACTTCTTGACATCTTACCCCAGTCTCATATATTGCTTTACTTGCCAACCCATGGGTCATGCAATTCATGAGATGAAGGTTGGTGTAACCAGTGTAACCAGTGAAGGTGGAGAGATATGACTGTAAATGTTTTGCAGGCTCTTTTTCTTTTATACCCTTTGTTAAATATTTTAGTTAGAAACAAGCTCCTTTTATCAGCAGTTAGCTTGCATTCCTGCTGCAGTCTTTTGATACCTTTTGATTGCCTTAAGCCTCTTTGCCTGTGTCGCTTCATCAGGACCCAAAACTAATTACTAAGATAAAGGACAAAAAACAATCTAAGGATGAAGAAGTCATGAATGATAAACACAAACTAGATTTTGGAAAAAAGATCAGAAATTAAAGAATGTATTAACATAAAGTTCAGGGTCGTTAAACCTTTATTCCCCCTTTTGTTTCTGGTTCTAATTAAGCTCAATACAGTGAAACTAAGGTTTAGAAGAAGAAAGTTTAAAACTCTTAGGCTGGGAGGTAATTTCAGGCATGCAGAGGTGGCTGGCAGAAATAAGGGAATGGAGCTGATTTTAGGCATGTACCAAATTTATGGTCTGTTGAAGAACCTATGAAAATGGCTTCCTATTTAAAAATGATCTTTCATCTTAAAATGATTGTGATCTTTGTTAGACATTAATTTTCTAGGTAATATATACATGAATTTGAAACACATAATGAAAATATGTATGTTTAAAAATCTGTAATATTTTCAGTACCTCCAAATGGCTGGGTCAGGTAGAGGAAGAGGACGTGCTTCGTTTACCTTCAACATTGAGGCTATTGGATTTGGTAACGGTGCAGCTCTACCTGATGTCATCTGTAAGCCTCCACCACCATTTCCAGTAAGTACTGTGGAGCACATTCTGTGTTCAGGTAAAGTGTGTTCACACTTGTGTTTAAGTAACATAATGAAATATATGAACAACCCCAAGTAGTTTTGAAATATTTAATAGAAGTCACTATTTTTCTTATTGCTAATTCCTGTGTCTTTGCTAACTGTTGTTATTATTTATTTATGTTATTACAATATATATTTAACTAGATTGCTTGCAAGCTGTTAGCATGTTGAAGTCCTCATCATGATTTGGTTTTCTGGACATTACAGTAGTGGTAACACTGGATACCTAAATTCATCTGAAATTAATTTAATTTAATTGTATAATTAAGGAAGCTTAATTGAGTCTTGGCATTTGGGATATATTTGAAAATCAAAGGGGAAGAAAGAGCATTTTCTAACTGTGTTTTGCTGTGCAGGGAAGCTTGGACTATTTTGAGGCAGAAAAGTAGTCTTACAATGTTGCAGTTTTATATAAGAGAATTTATGATTTATGTCAGGATTTGATCAAAGTGCATGAAATTTTTTGCAATCTCATGTGCTATGATACAGAACTTGCAAGTTTTACATACAGTTGGTGCTATGCTGAGATTTCTCTGAATAGTTTTCTCACCCAAGGCTTTGACTTGCGGAACCAGATGCTGTTTATCCTCTTAGTCCAGCATTACAATTAAGCTGTGATTTCATATTACTAAATCATCTGTAACTGTTTCTAATGTGAATGTTGCAGTCTGCTTGATAGTGCAGTTCTGTGCCATCTGAATTCTGTATAATCTGCAGATTCTGAGTTACAGTTAGCCTTGTAGGAGAATTATTAGCCCCAGTATATGTAATGTATACCATGGATAAGTTAAAAATGCTTTCTTCCCGTTGTTGTCGGGATGGACACCACACTGGGATGTCACACAGAAAAGCCTTTATTTCATACAAACATAGCCAATTTATAGTCTCCCCTAGCCAGCGTATTTCATCACCATTGGTGCCCTTACTACATACCCATCTTAAGATTGGCTGCTCTATAGTTTCTGCAACTCAGGGTCACTCTGGCTATCACAGCTGCCCCGCAGCTCCATCCTCCCTGTCCACTTTCTCATCTTTGTTGTTTACATTCCTTCACAACTTCACATCTGCAAGGGCCCAAGCTGTCCACAGCTCAGTTGCCTCCCACATCTTCCTTCTATGAAGAAAGTTTCAGAAGCAAGTTAAACTTCTCAGGGCAAATCTAGTGCCATTTAAGAAAAGCAGAGTTAACCCAGTTGTATAACTAGGGTCAATAAAAAATTCAAGTGTAACAAAAAGTGTGTTACAGCTATTGACTGACACTGAAATAATTTTAAGTAGTGAACTGTTGCTAATAAATATAGCTGTAAGCAGTAAACTCCTTTCATGGCCCAGCTCTGGGACTTGTGATAGGACTTTCTGCAACCTAACACTCAGGTATTTATTGTGCACCATTTGTCATGTGAGAGAAACAACATCCCTTGTGTAATTCTGTCTTTAGGATTCTTGATATTTTTAAACTATTTTTGTATATTTATCTTTCCCAATATCAAGATTCATAGTTAAAACAAAAACCAAAAACCAAACCAAACAAAACATCACAAAAAAAACCCAAAAAACACACACCAAAAAAACCCCAAAAAGCAAACCAACCAAACAAAAAAGCCAACTAACCAACAACCAAAAAACTCCCTACCCAAGAAAATACAACCCCCAAAAAATTCAAGCCTTTACAATTCATTTAAATTCAGCTGACAGAAACTGAATTGCGTGAGGGCCTGTGTACTACCTGGTTGTATGACAGCACTACGTATTCCCATGACAATAGTCATGGAAAAGGTGTCCATGGTATTCAGAAATCATACTTAATGTAGTTAAAACACTGTTTTAGAAGTGGTTAAGGCCAGCACTATGAATGAAGAGAGAAGAAATGGTTTCTGACTAAGGTTAGTGAGAAAAACCGCTTTTGGCTAGTCAGGATGACTATGAATGACTATTTCACAGTCATTGATTTCTTGATACATTTTTGTGAAAGATACAGTCAAGTTATATAAGGTATAAATTTAGATGTAAACATAGTTACTATGCATGTCAGAATGCAATATAGTATACTTGTGAAGTAGTGTAATACATAGTTGCATTCTTCTTTTATTAGCTGTGTTTATTGTAGCTTTTATTAGTGTACCTGTGTATTTGGTGGATATCAAGACCTTATATATAATAAACATGATTTGTACAGAGTACAGACAATAAGCCAGTGCCTCTGAAAACAGGAGAAGATGAAGACTACATGTTGGCCTTAAAACAAGATCTTAGAGGCACTATGAAAAGAATGCCGTACTTTTTGACAGTAGAAGAAGAACGTCAAGGTTTGTGAGCTTTTTATTATATCTTTAGTTACTATTCTGGGAAGGCCGATATAGGGAAATGCATGTGTTGAAGATGAGTTTCATACTAATAATGAGGAAGAAAAAATAGCAACTTAAGCTAATAGGGAATTTTTCTGCTTTTACACTTATTGAAATCATGGGTGACATCTACAAGTGCTATAACTGGAAAGCAACTACTGTTGAAAAAGAAAGGTATGAAACATCTACTCCATTTGTTATACAGTAAGAAACATTTAGACCAACTACATGCAGTCTTTTCAATTATATGCTAGCCTATATGAGTGCAATAGGCATATCTACCTGTTAAAATGCCATAAAATTTTGCATTAGAGCAAAGAAATCCATAGTAAATACTAGTCGTGAAATTCAGCTTTCATTGTGTAAAGATATACTCAAAATAATCAATGTTATATTTAATGGATGAACATTCTAAAAGGTACTCAGCTTTTTTTCCCCCCTAAGTCCATTCAGGAAATCTTAGTAAGTGTTACTGACAAGTCACTGGAAATGTGAAGACCGAGGTGAAGATAAGTGATTTACTGAGGTTTGCACCAGAAGCAGAGCAGGATTAGAAGCCAGATCTTGATTTTATTCTGCTTGATCTCAAAATTTCTTTTGCTTGCATGTAATTAAATATTAACATAGAGGTGCCTAGCGTAATCCCCTCTGAATTTTGTTAATTTTTGTTCATGGCGTAATGGTGAATTCTAGATGGTTTTGAGACTGTGCAGGTTTTTTTATTAGGCCTTGACTGTTACACTGAATAACACACCTTATTCATTGTCCACTTGTTCTGGTACTAAAGCCCAGTATAAAATGGAGCAGTGCCCTACAGTGTGAGCAGTGAATACACTGCCAGACTGACACTGTGGTTCACAAAAGGCAGAGTATTTCCTCTGACATGCAGCTGGAGGCCAGCAACCACTGGGACGCAGCTCTAATGCAGCACAAGCACAGACCAGGGTGGACCCTGACAGTGCAGCCAGATAAAACTGGTTATGAGGCAAGAACAGATCTGATCCTTGTTTCTAGATCCCTTTATGATGAGATAAGAACTCTAAATGACTCTATTATCACATTGTCTCAGTTTGAAGAGACTGGAATGTTTGCTAAAGAGGATGAGTTATGAGACAGACCAAACTCCTCTCTCTCAGCAATTGTAAATTCAAAATTAAGGGGCTTTAATTGAGGAAGTGTGGAAAACCAGAAGAAATAACAACCCTTTATTAAAAGATTTATGTATGTTGGCAAGAACAGTAATAGAACACAAAAAAACCCCTAGACAATAGTCCTGTACCCAGAAGTTCCCTTCAAACCAACAAAAAAAGGTCTGAACACTTCTCTGTCCTTAGCGCAGTTCCAATCACGGCCGGCAGGGGGCGCTGTTGGGTCACTGGAGGTGCAGAGCCTGCAGTGCTCGGTGTTGGCCTGCAGGGGGCGCTGTCGGGCTCTGGCGGTACCACACGGGAGGGGTCTGGGGGTGGTCTCGGGTCGCGGGAGAAGCCAAAAAGAGAATGGGGACCCTTCCCCAATGGGAGAAGGGGGAAAGGAAAACAGTTCACCCCCATGGAACTCACTGTTGTCCTCAGATGACGGTGTCCTAAGACTCCTCCTTTCTTCTCCCAGTGAGCACAAAAACTCTCAGATGAGAACGCAGCAGGTCCGGGATGGAGACAAAGACAGCCTGCCTGCAAGTCAAGGCCAGCAGTCAGGGCTGACCAGGGCGGGAAGCCAGAAAGCCCGGCCTCCAGGCCTTCTCTCCAAAAGCACGCATGCAAGACCCCCGTCTCCGTCCCAGAGCAAGAGCTCAGCCAAAAACTGACTTCTCCCTTCTAAGGAGTCCAAGCAACTCGCCAAAACTCCTCCCTACCTTCACCCAGCCTCCAATGGGCCATTTGTTAGGAATGCAGCTCAGGTGGCTAGACCCTTTGTAACGTGTCTTTCCTACAGTGGGGGCAGGGGGAAGAAAAATTCCCCCCTCCTGGATTTCTAACCTATAACACACATCTTCTCTTTCATCTTCTGAGTAAACAAATTTCAATCAGTTTGGATTCTCATTTCACTAGAGGCTTGCTGTGCTTTTGATCTTCTTCAGGCTTGAAGTTTACCATTTCCATTAGAGGCACAAAACAGGAAACTGCTATGCCTGAGAGCCAGTCAGGGTTATTTCCAAGGAGCCTGCTGCTTTATGAGAAAATGTTATCTCTCTTTTCCAACTTTGCCTTATGTGATTGTTCTTACTGATCACCTCAAAATCATCTTTGTTTCTGCAACCTTCTTTCAGAATGGAGAGATCTCTCTCTCTTGCTTTGTTCCTTAGTAGAACTACCAGCTTGGAATACTGGTTTTTAATATCAAAATTGGAAATTGCAGAGAAAGCGGGTAGACCACTTGATAGACTGAAATAATGCTCTGAATGTTCTCATCATCTCATCATCTTACCCTTACCAAGGGTAAGTTGGTAAGTTGAGGTAATTTTTTATTAAATCGTAAGTTGTACAAAAATGCTGCATCTGAGGGGTGCGGTATAATTACATCAGGAGTGGTCTGCAGTTTAAAAAGCTTGTTTTCATATCAGTCATAGTGTGCAGTTGTTTCTGGGACTGCACTCTGGCAGAAGTGGCCTAGTTTTAAGAAAATTGCATTTATCCCCCAGAATAGACTGTTTTTAACTGATCTTTTCTGTTACCTGGTTTACAGCTGTTTGCTCCACTTTATTTCATTAAAACATCTGGTAGAACTAAGAGGAGGCAGGAGGAGGACTGTAGGCAAGAACTTCATAAATTGGCTTTGCTACAAAAGTGACTGGATTGTTTTAAACCCTCAGCACAACATCTCTGAGCCAAATGGTCCTTGAAAGTGCAAGAAGGGAAACATTTTAATTAGTTGGGGTGTAGCTATCTGTCTCATTATTCAGGTAGTAAACAAAAGCTCCATATAATGCTACCTGTCAAATTTGATGTGTTAGTGTGCCATATAGAATAGATTTTCATCATTCATTTCACTGCTCATGTTGAGTGAATAGTAGGCATATTCTGTAGAAAGTTCTTTATTTTCCTCATTAAATTAGCTATCATTTATATTTTTCCTTTAGGTATATCTGCTATGACTGGGTGACTGCCACCTTGGCAGTGGCTTTGAATGAATTCATTAGTTGTGAGAGGTGTGAGTCAGTCAATGATTTTTTGTACTGATGGCAGTATTCACTAAAGAGCCTTGAGCTGAAATCAAAACTACTGGCTTCTTTTCCTCTCTTTGCTGACAGTTTCCTACAGCATCTATGAATGCCCCTGTTATTTTAAATGCAGGCTTTTTCTTGAACAGTTATAGGAAGGTTTTCTGCTTGCCCTCATCATAACTAAAATTGAGCTTCATTTATGATATTTTCTTTCTCCCTGCTGAGCACACACTTGAAGAACGGGATGCCATCCTGAGGAACCTAGACAGGCTCAAGAAGTGGGCCCATGAGAATCTCATGAGGTTTAATAGACAAAGTGCCAGGTGCTGTACCTGGGTTGGGGCAACCCTCAGTATCAACACAGGCTGGGGGATGAATGTATCAAGAGCAGCCCTGCCAGGAAGGATTTGGGGGTGCTGGTGGGTGAGAGGCTGGAAATGAGCCATCAATGTGCATTCACAGCCCAGAAAGCCAAACATGTCCTGGGTTGCATCCAAAGCAGTGTGGGCAGCAGGTCAAGGGAGGTGATTCTGTCCCTCTGCTCTGCTCTGGTGAAACCCCACCTGCAGTGCTGCATCCAGCTCTGGGGTCCCAGCACAGGAAGGATATGGACCCGTTGGAGCAAGTCTAGGGGAGAACACCAAGGTGATCAGAGGGATGGAGCAGTTCTCCTATGAGGAAAGGCTGAGAGAATTGGGATAGTTCGGCCTGGAAAAGAGAAGGCTTCAGGATGACCTTACTATAGCCTTCCAGTACCTGAAGGAACTTAGAGTAAAGATGGGGCAAGACTATTTATGAGAGCATGTAGTGACAGGACAAGGGAAAATGGGTTCCAATTGAAGCAGAGCAGGTTTCATAGATATAAGGAAAAGATTTTTTACTGTGAGGATGGTGAGGCACTGAAAGAGGTTGCCCAGGGAAGCTGGTGGATGCCCCATCCCTGGAAGTGTTCAAGACCAGGTTGGATAGGGCTCTGGTATAGTTGAAGTTGCCCCTGCCCATGGCACTAGGTGATCTTCGAGATCCTCTTCCAACCCAAACCATTCTATGATTCTATGTTAGAAGTATTTAACTTTAAAGGTCAAAGGCTGTCTCAGTTACTATTTTTTGTACAATACCCACAGAAACTATCCCTGTCTGAATAACGGGTTATTAGTGCAATCAGACTCACTAATTTTGCATGAAGTGGATTTTGCAGTTGTGCATGGTAATTCGGTAAGTAAAAAGGGGACTGATTTAAAAATACTAAAGTTTTGATATTGCTTTTGTCATTACAGATTTTAAGTAAGAGGTTTTTTCAATATAAGTAGATGTGCTTACGTTGTATGACCACTTATGATGCATTTCTCGGTTTAGTTCTTGTACTGGATTGTACTGTATTGTACTGTAATGGATTAAAGTGTGTTGCTGCTATTTAGGATGGGATGCAAAGCTTTTCCATTGCAGAAGTACTGAAAGTTTTGAAAGGTGATGATCAGACTGAGACACAGCCTTTTGAGAACTGGGAATTCTGGATGGTTAACATAGTGGTGTTAAATGTCACTGACTGGTTTTGTAGCAAAGGTTTGATTGTGAAAATCTTGAGGAGTATAACAGTTAGTGTTACATTTGATGTTTCAAACTAGTTTCCCTTATTAAATCTGCATTTTATAATTTCATGCTTTTCAAGGATAAAAGCATAAATTATAAAAATTTTGGAGTGCTTTTTCTGTTGTTTTTGTTTTTTGTTTTTTGGTTTTTTTTCTATTTTTTTTACGTTCTTGACAACAAGAAAGTGTTCAATGTGGGAATAAAAAAATACACTGTATGTTTAGTTACAGGAAAATATCAAGGACTATGTCTGGATTGCCTGTTAAATCAATTGAAGTCAATAACTCTTTGTATCCTTCTCCATAGCAATTGAGAGGTACAGTCAAAAGCACCAGGACAGTGAAAACGAGCAGAAAACATGGATTCCAGGTAGCATTTGAGGCTAATTTTCTGTTGACCTGTGAAATGTTCTGCTCTTTTAAGTGTTTGATTCATGATTTTTCAAGCAATAAAAAAGTATGAAAATCCTTACCAAGTCATGCGTTTCTTGTTGAGCGTTATTGTCCTTTGCATGTTTTCAGATCAAGGCAAGTATTGTTTTGTCAGAAAAAAAAGGGGGAAAAATCTGATCTTATTTATTTACTGAGTTGTAACAACTGATTTGCAGCAAAAATGCAAGCTTCAGCTCTGACTTCAGCTTTTCTTTTTCCTGACTCATCACACAGATACCAGTTTTGAACTGGGAGCAAACACTGATGTTACTAAAAGTAACCCAACCTGATGTCTGTCATGGGTAGTCATACCTGTATAGCTCACTACTGCAAACTTAATTACATAATTTAAATTGAAGGGCCCATGGGCCACTGGAATGGCTGAACTTGTCTCTTTGGGATAGAGGCCAGTTGTCATTATGTGGGGGAAATGACAGTCCTGAGTCCAGTTCCTCGATTTAAATTACAGCTAGAATTCCCTAAAACTGTTGTATGCTAAGACATTTCAGCATCCATGTAAATAGGATCAAGAACAACAGGGGCCTGTTCCTTTCCTTGGTGAGTTACAGGGAGAGGATTACTGCAGTAAATCATCATTTTTCTATATTAGAACTATTTTCTGTACAGATTGGAGAAGACTCCCAAGAGAGATGAAACCAAAGAAGACAACCAAAAAAGGTACATTATATATTTTTAAGAAGCAAATAATACTCTCTAGTTGAGAGACAGAAGACATACTGGAGCTGGTTAGAGGAAAAAATATTGTAGAAATGTTAATTAGTCCAAATAATCAGTTCTTTTGGCAGATTTTTTTCTAAATAATTTACTAGTCTGCCTGCCTTTTGTGGTTTTTCCTTTGTTTTTATAGGATGTTTTAACTTATTTGTGCAGATTTATCTTCCTTTCCTGACTCCTGTATGGATGTATTTCAGTATACATGTAACAGTGAAAAATTAAAAAAAAAAAAAACAAAACACAAGCCTTTTTATTTTGAAAGCTCGTATCTTAATCAACACTCACCCTTCTATTCAATAAGTAACTGGCTGTTCAGATTTCCTTTATATTTTGGGTTTCTCAATTATTTATTATTTGGTTGAGGTTTGCATTTTTTTAAGCCTTTTATATGTGGTTTAATGTCGGTTGTTTTCTGTTTTTCCTAGTTTTACTTTTTTTGTCTGTTTTCAGCTTTCTTCTGCAGAATTGTGAACCAGATCCTTCAACAGCAGTTGGAGCTGGTATTGGCTGTTCTTTTAGGAAAAAAGATTTTGTTACACAGCATCATTTGTTTCAAAGTATTTTCTAGTGTGCATGATTTTTTTTAAGTTCCCTATAGAAAGCTGTTGTTCTGATGATGTGAAATAACACTTGGCCTCCTGTATCTAGCCATCTATTTATATATAATTGTATATTTTCTTCTTCTTTTTGTCCAAGTCCCTCATGTGGCATTTTTCAGTTCAAGGGTAAAATAGAAAAAGAAATGGAAATGTGCAGTAGTGACAAAGACTGGCTCAGCTGGAAGCTTTGTTCCTTTTAATAATGTCATTGAGAAGCATGGTACTAAAGGTAAACTGTAAGATTCAACTGAAAATCAAATACTTATTTGCAAAATCTCTAAAGGTGGGACCAGAATATACCTACTTTTTTCCCCCCCGACAAGAGGAAACCACTGGCTTTTGTAAGCCCATGCACAATAGGTAGCTCCCCAAGATCAATGAAATAATAAATAACTATTAATCCTTGTTTAAAAAATATTATGATTAAGAGAAAATCACTGCTCACTGTGGGATCTTTCCTCTTTCTTTAGTGCCAGTTTCTCTATTGGCTCTTAAAAGTACATTTTCCTACATGGCTATAATGGCGAAGAGATCAGGTGGTCATCAGAATTTGATTGGATTAAAAAACAGCTTCCCTCGAAAGCAAAAACTGTGTGGTTTAGTTTTTTGGGGGGAATTCTGATGATACATAGGGCATACAAAAGTTATATGACTCAAGACATTTGTATGTAGCTGGTCAGTGACACATCAGCCCTCCTGGTACATATCTTGCTTGTATTTTGAGGACAGCTGACTTAGATGACACTTTAACCCTTGTGGAACAAAGGTGAGTGAGTCAAGAGAATTTGCACAGAAATTCAGCCAGGCTTCCTACCATTCCCCATTGTAGCATGCAGGAGTGGTCTGGGGATCCCTACACAGTTGCATGTACAGGGGCAGCTTTATTTTTACATGTCTTTCCCTTCCTCTTTCTAGTTTCCCTGAATGTTTTAACCAAAGATCTGACCACCTGCCTTCTTAGTGACAAAACTTTGGATAGAATTCCATATCTCTCCCACACTGACCCTGGGCTACGGAACACAGTATTCTAGACACCAGCACTGCCTGCCAAAAACAAAACAAAAAAATAAACAAAAGGAAAAAAAAAAAAGAAAAAAAAAGGTGCTGACTGGGTTCAGCTGACATTGTAGGCCAGCCATATGCATATGTATATAGCAATCAGGTACATGCATTTTAGCCCAAGTACTTCGAGAGTGGGTATTTGGAAATCAGATTAGATTGTATTCCCTTGCCCCTCTAAGGTATATGATGTAGAGAACTATTCCACTTGAAGTTCTACTAAAGATTGGTCAGTATCTCTAATTTCATGATAAGGGCTAAAGATGCTTGGCATTTAAAGACAAATCTTACATGTCTGTTCTATCTGCATTTAATCTAAAAGCCTACAGGAGTTTGTGCAGAGATGATAATTCTGAATTGCACTTTACACTTGTTTTCCTTAAAAGCCTACTTCATTCTGGATGTGTTTCCTTTGATGTTGTTCATATTTTACAGAGCAGGTTGACTCCCCTCAGCTCTTTGCAGTGCTTTAGTCACATAATTGTTTCCTAGGCAAAACACTGAAATAAACTCAGTGTTACATACGGCAAATGCTTTTGACAAAATACAGTTGTTTGCTCAGCAGTTCTCAGGGTTCTGCTTCCTTGAGTATTAGGCTGGTATTTGGGCAACTTTGATACAGGGTGCTGCAATTCAGGTAGCTCTTACCTGGGTGTATGGAAAGCTATTTTTGACCTTTGCTCCACCATATAATTAATCAGGGAGTAACCTGGTAAAGATTATGTTCATGAATCAGGGGGCTAGGTGCAAATACATTCCATGGACTCATTAGATGAGAGCCAGCTATGGCCCAAGAGCCATGTAGCTACAGTAACCATGCCTTCTGTGTTACAGCTAATGAACTGTTGTGTTCTTTTTTTTAAATCTACTTATCTGAAGCACCCAGCTGTCATTACTGTGTTGTATAAATTAGTAACAATGAATTTCTATCTTTTCAAGATGATGAAAAATAACAAGTGAGATTTTGTTCTAGTTTCATAACATATTGTGAGCAGGTAGTTGACAAGTCTTTTGTGAAGCTGGACATCATACTTTAGCCAAACCTTTGGTCAACTACTTGTTCAAACTGAATTTCAGATTGGCCTTCTAGGCATGTCTTACATAAACCAGGCACACTTCTATGAATGATGTAGCTCAAAGTCTAAAGTAATTTTTATACAGCCAGTGTAGGATTTCCCTGGCATACTCAAGATGTAAGCACGTAAAACCAAGTAAAACAAAAGAATTTGTGCTTTCCATATTAAAAAAATAATAGTGATGTATTTTATTTCATCAGGTGCAAAACCAAAAAAGGCAAAAAACTTTGAGCCTAAAAGTAATCTGGATGTGATAAAAAAAATTGAGGTAAGATGTGCATACTCTTTCTAAATTGTACACTAGAGATTGCTGAATGAAAATGAAACCTAGTATGTTTTTTGGTATAAATGAAATAACCAGAACAGCCTTTATTCTGGCCTTGTCATGTTACTCTGGCAGACAGCTATTCTGCACTGTGGTGGCACAAGAGTTAGAGTAAGGATAGAGCCTGGATAGCTCCTGTTTGTACCTGAACACAACAACCAGTTGCTCTTCACTGGGTAGCAATACAGACTAATGTGAACAGCAGAGCTACTGTTGGAGCTTACTGAAGGAGAAACTGGTGCCAGAGCTTTTAAATCTATTGCTGTTTCACCATTCTACTGATGTGAGAACTTAAACAATTTAGTAAGTTGAGAGGAAAGAAACACAGAAAGAGAAACTTAGGAAGTGACCTCTGTTTTGCAGGCAATTACTCACCATGTGGGAATGGGAAGCTTAAAGGTGGAACACCTTTGTATTTTTTCTTGTAGTGATCCATCAGTTGTTTGGTGCAGTTATATTATTACATAGAGTATATGGTATTGCTTTATCAATTAATGACATGGCCTTCTCCTGTCAACTGTGCTCTCAGTGGATGGTAAAGGGAAATCATCATCTCAGTCTGTAACACAAGCCATGCTTTTTTAGCCTTTAAGTGCGATGGCTGATGCTTGACCAAGTCTGTATGAAGTTCCTGTGCTTCACATCATATTGGTTTAAATGTCAGCATTTTCACAGCATTGTTATGCTATCTTGCTGTTAACTGTAGTTTAATATTTTGGTATTATGAATAGCTGTAGCTGTAATATGGGATTACCTTGTAAAGCAGATTGCCTTGTGACAGGAGTTGGAAAAGAAGGATGATAAAGAAGAAAAATCTGAAGATGAGAAAGACAAAACAAAAGACAAAGAAGGTGAAGATGATGAAGAAGCAGAAGAACCAGATGAATATGATGAAGAGGAACATGAAGAGGTATAATGTTAGTTTTCTTCTTTATATATTGAGTACTGTGTTGGCTGGAAGCCAAAGAAATGTCCCTAGCTTCTCAGATGCCAAGGGAGAGTTGTTGTGGGAGGCATTATTACATTAATGATCTTTGTTGCACTGTATTTTGTTGTAGTTCATTTAAATGGGTGTTTTAGACTTATTATTCACAAAGAGCTCCGAGAAAAGATCTTGCACACAGGAATGTGTCCTGCCACAATCAATACATACAATTACTCTTTTTCATCACTAAAACAGTGATGCCTCTTCTTTCATAGGTATCAGAACTTCATTGCAGTATTTTCCTTTTTCTTTGCCAAGAAAATAAAATCTACTACTGTTTTAAAAGGTGGGCACTCAAATGCAGTTTAAAGGATGTTTCTTTTATAAATTGTCTTCTCCACAGATAAAATGATAGATTTTTTCTTCAATTGGTTTAGGAAAATGACTACATTTCCTCCTATTTTGACGATGGAGATGACTTTGGTGCTGGCAGTGATGACAATATGGATGAAGCAACATACTAACTGTGGTTGCTAGGTGCTACGCTGCTCAAGCCTTACACTATTTGAAGTAGAATTCTGGAGGTAGGCTGAATATCAACAGACCTAATGCTTTAGCTCCATTGGTTTTAAGCAGACTCTCCAAAACCACATTGGAGTTTAATTGTATTATGCTGTAAAAGAGGATATGAGATCCTTTGTTTTGTTCTTTTGCCAAGTGTTTTGCAGACATGCGCCTTTTTAAGGTCTTCTGGAATGCGCCCTGATGGAGTAAGCTATATGCCATTGTGTCACCTCTGTACAGAAGAAGAATGTATGCATTTTACTTGAAATTGTGCCTAAGCATTTGCACTAGTCAGTTCTGTGCGTCAGCAGTGAAATCTTGAAACCAGTCATGAAATTCTTGATGACTGCAGCAAAAGAGATATGGCCTTTATGGACATAAACTGCTTGCATTTGGCAGCTGACTTCTCTGAAGAAGCTTATGTAACTTCTGAGTTCAGGTGACTAGAAATAATTGATGACTAAGCACTTTAATATAAACTGACTTGAAAAAACCTTAGAAATATAGACAAACAATATGACAGTAATTTGAAAAGCCATTACTGTAGTTAGAAGAATACATTGCCTTTAGTATTTTGGTAAAATGTATTACATTACCTTTATGAATCACCTTAAGTCATAATTAAGGACAATTTGATTTAAAAAGAATATATAGCAGAAGTTAGGAAATTACAAAATCCTGGTTTCACCAGTTAGTGAAAATTTCAGTCCTTTGCCTCAGTTTCTCTGCCTGTTACAGTCTTTCTTACCTCACAGAGCTGTTAAGTGAGAAGGCAGATGATATGTATCTATGTAATTGTTAATGCATTTGTTTACTTCCTACAGAACAAACAAGACAGAAACAGACAGCAAATCAATAGAAAATAAACCCCAAAAATGTAAGAAAAGAATGTGGTGCAGTATTTTAATGCATGAGGTTTTAATTAGAAAAACAAGGGGAGAATGCTAAGAATAGCAAAACCAGAATGTTTGGAAACATCAATTTTATTTAAGAACAAAAGCTGAAGTGCATTCTTTGTGTCATCTTTTGATGGTACAAAATATTATTGGTCAGTGTAATTACATTACTATTGATTGTTGTAGTTTTTTGGGTTTGGGGGGTTTTTTTGATTTTTTTTTTTTTACTTTCTTAAAACATGTTCCTGTTAATGAGTGCTGTTACTGGCTCTAATGAAAAGTTTTAAACAAAACCAATTCTTTTTATCAGCAAAGGAAACTACAGTAGTTTTCCTTGCATGTCTGGCATTCTGTCAAGCAGTACTTCACCTCACTTGACTGGGAAACAGTTCTGCATTATTCTGTGCACTTCTATATGCAGTAAGAATTTAGTCCTTAAGGTGTAGCTTTTAAATGTTCTGATAAAATACGTATCATATGTAAAGGAAATTAAATGCTATGCAGGTCACACCTCAGAGGTATACCACTTTTATTTTGAAGTGTTTATTGACTACAAATGTTTAATAAAGATTCTACTGCATTGCATAGGAAATACATTCTTTCAGTTTTTTTTAACATCACACATGTCAGCAGTTAGGTGTGCCTGCTTCTTGTGTGTGATATACAAAACAGAGACAGAAGATGTGAATGAGGTAAGCATGCTGAAAACTAAATTCACTTGCCATAACTGTAACTGCTGCTGCTGGCTGTTTGCCCCAGCAGGGTGAACAGTGAGACTCCTTCCTGTATCCTGATAGCAGACAGTAGTTCTTGAGGACCAATGACTTCCTCCACCCATCATACTGCTAATGGATGAGGCAACTGCCTCCCTGCTGCACTGTTGAGAAATACTACTCTAGCAAAAATCAGGTCTTTTTGAGACCTTTGAAAGGTAAACTGTAGTCACTGTCCTCCAGAGGGAACTGCAAAGTCTTAGGCTGGGCCCTCTATGACTGGTTTAACAATGGCAAATAAAGCCATTGCTTAGGTACATGCCAAGTTCTGCAAGGTCACAGCTCTGTGCTAAGGCACTTTTAAAGAGCAGTGAGATTGTGCTCTTCAAGAGGTGCAACTCTTTTTAGAAGCTGATTTTCTGATCGCTTAGAATTTATTGCAAGACCATAATGACAATGAAACTGTTCTTTGGTTGTCGGCAGACTTCAGATTTTGACAGGCATCTATTCAAATCCTGTATTTACAGCATAGAAGAAGATTGCTTTCTGTGTGTAGTCATATCACTATCTAAGAATTTCACTGATCTCTACCTTAATTTTTCATATCTACTTCTGGGAATTTACAAGTTCTCAGAAACTTATGCAGAAAAGTTCCAAGTTTACAAGGCATGAACAGGATAAACCATTAAGGCTGCAGTTACGGTATGCTAGATGTAAATGCTATATGCAGCTACTGCCAACAAAATGCTTGCTAGCCAAGGATTTTTATTTTAGATCATACATAAAAACTGGCCAAAACAAATACAAGTAGGGGCCTCCTGTAATAAAACATGCACAGTATGTACAGCTAAGAATATATTATATGCACCACTTTCACCGCTGTCTAAAATAAAACCTTTATTTTACATGTATTACTTATGTTCTTCTAAAAGCAGAAGAGCAGAAGTATTTAAAATAAGACTTGCATCCTCACCCAGAACTGTTTTACAAAGTTGTATTTTCAGGCTTTATAAAAGTTATACAAAGACTGTTTGTGACAATATATTCCAAAGAATAGCAGATTTAAAACATTTCAATTTTATATGATCCAACACCGCAATACGCACTTAAGTTAAAACCAACTTCCCGATCAATATGTTGCAATTGATCCAAAAGGTGATTTACCACTCAGTTATTTTGTGTTTTGTTGTTGTTTTTATTTTTAAGAAGTCAGTTTCTGGAAGACTAACTTTACAGATTTTAACTTAAGTCAGATTTAAGTTTCTTACAGAGCAGTTACCCTGTTTATCCAGAGCTGATGTGATGATGCATTTCCAGTTGTGTTGAACTTTGGAAAAAAAAAGTAAAGATCCCTGCATCCTGGAGAAAGCCATGTCAGCTGATCTTTGTAGTTTACCAGGACCAGGAGTCCTACAATCTTGGAAAAAGACCTACTGCATCTTCTGATAAAAAGTGCTGCATGAAATAAGCTATGTCATACATTTGTAAAAACATTCCAGGCTCTTGATTAGAATGTAATACAGTCCAGTTAAAGAGCTGTCCCTTTATGTTTTTCCAAGGACTACTTATCCTAAGGTAAATCAAGGGGACAGTAAGCCACAGGTATTCCAACACTGTAAAGGCCCAAAGCCTGGGACAAAGATCTCTTCATCTGTGCCACCATATAACAAAAAGCATCAGTTAACCACAGACCTCTGTATCCTTACATCAACAGAGACCTTCCTGACCTAGTCAGACCACAGCCGAAGTTAATTTCACTTCTACACCAATGGCAATTTAATACCCATCAGTTCAGGTATGTGCAGTAATAGCTGCACATCACAATAGCTAACTTAATGTGCTTTGACGAATCTGTAAGAAATGGAAGGATAAAGTATTAGAACTGTTGAGATTTCAGGAACAGAATGATGGGGGAAGAAGCAAACTAGTAAATAAGCTTGCAGCAAAAAAGCTGACACATTATATACCAAGTTTCATACCTTACAGTAAACATCTGTCTTCATGTGCCAAAGCTCTCTTGTCTGGACTAGAGTAAGTCCTTTTAAAGTTTTAACCCTAGAAGCTGTATCACTTTAGCCACCAAGAAGTATTTTGCAATGCAGTTTTTCATATAGCATTACCTAGAACTGGTACCTCAGTATTTATATTTGTGTTATTGGCATATTGTCTTCGTGAAATGAACTATTACTGTAAAAGATCTTTGAAAACAAGGGTTATGTGAACCATTAAATTCATGCCTGTTTGTAATCTCTTTTCTAGTGCAGAGACTATGAGTAGGCTCACTATCTCCACAGCTGCCCCTCTGAACAAAGGGTTCAAGAACCACAGGTTCACATACCTAACTGTATACCATTTTCCCTCAAGCTTTGGCCTGCCTTCAATTTCAATATAATACAAGTTAGCCAATTCATGTTCATACACTTGGCATGCCAGTGAAGACTATCTGCGCCAAGAATAGATGGGGCCTAAGTCTTTACTCTCAGAACCCGATAAAGCACTTTGAAATAACTCAATAGTAAGGAAACATTTACTTTACCAGATTTTTTTATACTATATATATATACACCTATATACTTAGTCAAGACACTCAATGGAAAGCTTACAATAGTTGTTTAAAGGATACTGATTATTTTTCCACTTCTCTCTTTATAAGTTATAATCAAGTTAGTTAATCTTGGGTTTTAGTAATGAATAGTATTTTGAGCAGGGCGATGGAGTTATGCTCCACAAGGTAAACACAACAAAAAAAATTATAGGCACATCTCAGTTTTTATTTAAAAGTATTCTGAATACACAAGTAACTCCTTCTTTCTGTATGAAGAGTCCAGAGTTGTTTTTTGTTTTGTTTTGATTGTTGTTCGTTTGGTTGGAGGGGGGGGAGAAAAAGAGGGGAAAACCAAGGTTGATCATGAAACTCCATGTGAAACATTCAAGAACAGATAAAATACACTACTATGTAAGGAAAAAGTCTGAAGCTGCAACTTGTCTATTTTGCTGCAATTTGCTATCAGGCATTAAATCTCATTTGAAGTTTTCTAGGAGATTTCAGGAAAAAGTGTTTGAGGTTCATGGGCACAAGACCATTAGCATATGGTCCTGAATTGAGATTGGCTGAAGGGGGAAAAAAAAATTCATGTTACAGCAAGGTGCCACACTTCTGCACTTCTTTCATTCCTACACACAGCTGACCAGATGAGAATGCAGTCCAGTCAGTTTTCAGCAGCATATCACAGAAGAATGTGAAGTTTCAGGACGACTCTCTCAACTGGACTGTGTTGAAGCACAGTGTCACACACAGAGAAAACAAATTATCCTACTGCCTACATTGAAAAGTACTGTAGAAGGGGTTGACCACAGGCACAAGAATTAAAGATTCTGGCTTAGGTATTTGCTACTGCCTCTGTAGAAGTCACTTGTAAAAAAGGAACTTCATAGTGGCAATTAATTATGGAATGATTGGGTTCTAAAAAAAAAAATCTTACTCTATAAGAAAGAGAAAAATATGAGAACAGCATTTTAATTGACAACTGTAAACCTGATATTAAAAAGTGAAGAGTACTATGAATTCTGTAAATATTTTCATAAGTTTAAAAGTTAAGATATCCCCATATGCCCATTTCTGGGCTGTAAAACGCACAGTGAGACTCCTTGTGTGTTAGTTCAAACTACATTTTTTCATCTCATCATTAATTAAAAAATATATGTCTATCAAAATAGAAAAAGTGCAAAGCTTCAGAGACGATTTTATAGCTTAATTTGTATCCCAATCTTGCAAACTGCCTGTCTCAGGCATATTCAGAGATTACATGATCCCCAGAAATATCCCTGTGGTGGAACACTACCCATTGAGGGCAAGTCATACATCAGTACTCGTTTCCTCTACGTTCCACGTACATTTTGCATTCTGTGGTTTCCCCTTTGCCTAACACTATGTTATGTGTCTACCAATAAGTTACATGTGGTACTCTGTTGTTAATGCTGAAAGTCTCCTTGATTATCAACATTGATAACATTCGCTGGATTTATTCCATTTTCTATTTGTTTCTGATGCGATACTGCTGTGACAAACAAATGGGAAGATTCCATTGTAGAATGGTGACTGACATCTGCTTTCACCAGAACTTCGTAATACAGGAGATAAAAAACTGGAGTTACTATGCCAATGATCAACATAATCACTACCGCTGTCCACCATCCTATACCCCAGTCTGCTCCGTAGTAAGGATCCTTGCTTTTTTTAGTTTTACCATCAGTTTCAAAACAAACCTGTTGGGCTGCTAAAGCAGAAACAACTTCATTAAGATTCTCTTTCTTTGTATCATTACACTTCACTATTTCTTCTATATCTCGATCCACTTCTTTTAAGAAGTTGCCAGCAGTCTCATTAGCAGAGAATTTATCAGAAAGTGACGTTTCCTGCACTTCTGGGGAATAGAGAGCAGGCCGAAGGACTTGTCTTCCTTTTGGGGAGACATGCGTTTCAGTCAATACACTAAACTTTTTCACCGGAATTTTGACAGACCTCAGGGCAAAGAAATCTTGATCGTTGATAAGATTGTTAACTCTCTTGATATCTGCAACCTAAAAATAGGAACAACAGTTAAAACATTGCAGCCCCATTGAAACACAACTCTCTTAATAGTACCATACCCTTCAGAAATATAAGTCTTTCCTATGGAAACAAAGGCAAGACCTTTATTTTGCTTTACTTTTTTTTTTTTTTTTAAAACAGATACCCATTCAAACAGTATGAAGTGAGAAGAGGTCAAAGACCAAATCTGAACAACATTACAGCAAGAAGTAAATTAATTATGAGGTAACAAACCTTGTCACTTCATATAAGAAGACTGAAAGTCACTTCACACATATGTGTTTACGTAACGTATGTTCATCCATCGCTTGGTAACTATCTCTGTGAAATGAATGAGATTTAAGCTCTGTTTTCAAATGACGTAACTTACTGAGTTCCTAATTAAATTGAAAACTTCTGAATTAGGAATATTACAAATTAGTGAGTTTCCAATTTATCTAGCCACAGCTGTGTTTTTTGCTGCTTCTGAGGGCTAAGACAGAAATCAAGCATAACTTAAAAGTATCATCCACCCTACCCAAGTCAGCTCTCCCCTTTCCCTATTCTTGCTCAAAATGAATCTCATTTTGCTCTCAGTAAGTTCAGATTTTAAGTCTAATGTGAAAAATACTCTGCAGGGATTTAAGTGCCCTTGGATAATCATTGGCTTTCACTCTGAGATAGGAACTCCCTCACCACAGAGGGCACAGCCACAAACCTCACTGTAATGAAGTATTTCCAACCCAGTGCTTTTCTGCAACACCTGCAAAGCACGCAGGAATTGTGCCCATTTTAAGATGCACTGTACCCAAGTTCACATCAACTTAATAACATGAATAAGTTTTTCAGGTCCTATAACAAGGTATTTGTTATATGTCCCATGTGGAATAAATTGGATTAGCATAAAGAAATGCCAAATGCAGCATTTACCCAGTGGTTAGTGATCCCACCACAACGCACGTTATACTTTTTGCCTAAAACTCCAGGATCGCTCTTCCACATTCTCCTGAATTTCCAAGAAAGAGCGCAACTCAGTTATCTCATTTTTTATTGAAGCCTGATCTAGTAAACCTGCCCCAAATACTTAATTGCAGTGGGTTCTGAAGCCAAGAACTGGGTAATGAGGCTAAGGTCTGCCATGATTAGGAAATAGTTATGTCAAGACTTTAGTACCTAAGCTCACAACAGGCGGCCCCCAATTCTGTTTCTGCCTGAAAAATTAAACAGCAAGAGTTCTGTAAAATATGGATTCTGAATGTGACCTCTTGGCCCATGCACACTTAGCAGTCAGCCCCACCAAAGCACACCACTGATTTTGTGTTAAAATTGAAAACGCGAGCCATGACAGATGCCACCACCTTAATTAGTACTGGCCAGCCAAAATTACTGGGTAGGCAGGGCAGTCAGCAGACTAAGGTAAGAACTGAGCTAGAAGCAGTGAGCACCAAGAAGGGCGTACAGGGGCAGAACGTTCCCAACGGTACAAGAAGTTCAAGCCTAAAATATTCAGGCAATTTAGCAGAACTCAGAATAAGACTACAGAGGGTTTTCCCCCTACTATCATGGAATTAGGGCTCCACACAAACCTTTAAGTGGTTCAGCAACAACCCCCCTCAGCACCAGTCTAACAGCGAGGGTGGCACTGAAGTGACGACCTTTGACTGTAACATGTTGTCTCTCAGAGCGCCACAAGCAAAGCCATGCACTTGTTTCGTGCGCTTTCAGTAGCTTTCGGGGTTAAAGCCCACGGAACCGGAACGCTGCTGCCACAGTGACACCCTGACGTCATTTTCCACTTCTGAGGCCCGCGGCGTCCCCACGGCCCTTACCGAGCAGCAAAACTGCAGCGCGATCGCGTTCAGCGTGTCCCCTTCCCGGATGTCCCTCGTCAGCAGCACGATGTCATCCAGCCTGTCCCTGGACGTGCTCCGCCGGACCTTCTCCCTGCCCCGCGGCCGCAGCTCCGACACCTCACCCTCTTCCTCCGGGCCCTCGCTCTCGGCGCTCACCACGGGGTACAGGTGACCGCCGGCGGGCGGCTGCGCCACGGCGGGTCCCTGCGGGCCGCTGCCCGCACCCCTGCCGGCCATACTCCGCAGGCGGCCCTACAACGCACCGCGGGCGTGGCACCCTCCAAGGGGAGCCCCACCCCGGCGGCGGCGGCGGCGGCGGCTCCTCCTCCTCCTCCTCCTCTTCGTCCCCGCCCCCGCCCAGCGCCCGCCGGACCCTGGGGGGGGAGGGCAGAGGGAGGAAGGACTCTGCCTGCCCCCGCCCCGCATGGCCTTGCTCCGTTATGGCAGCCGCGCCGCCACGTCCGCAGCGCCGTCTCCGCCCCGCCTTCTGAGGGAGGCCGGCGAGCGGGAAGCAGCGCCGGCGGGATCGTCCGTGCGGGCATGACGGGGCTACACCACCCCCGGGGACGAGTCTGGTCCTGCCGCCCGTGTGTCCCGGTCCTGCCGCCCGTGTGTCCCGGTCCTGCCGCCCGTGTGTCCCGGTCCTGCCGCCCGTGTGTCGCGGCCCCGCCGGTGGGCCGCCCGGCGCTGGAGGCCGGGGCGCTGTTCTGGGAGGCGCTTCACCTCCACTTCCACTCGAGCCGCCCCTGTGCGAGTTCAGCCATGGGGTTTTCTTTTCGCTTTTGCTGATCCTCTTTGTGAAGAAATGGAGGCTGCTCGGGTACGAAGCTGCCGTGTATTTGGCCCAGTAAGAGACCCCTTTTTGCTTGTTAAGTATTCGCAGCTCCTCTGCACATCCTGTACCTGCTAGTCCTGCACTGCTGCGCCCTCAGAAGTTGCCGGGCAGTTTCCTTTTATGCCCCCACCTGTCCCCTCAGGACTGGTCCTGCAGAGCTACAGGTGTGCAGCCCACGTTGATGTATATTTCTAACGAGAGAAACCGTAAATTGAGCCCTGTAGGTATTCCAGCTTTCCTCCCCTAGTAAAGTAATTTTCACTCTAAAGGACTACCAGCAGCTGTTGGGGTGCTGAGGCAATAGACAGACTTCCTAGTCTTAACTAGTAAATTTAACCCAGTGTGGGTTTCTCCTGACACAGCCTTAGAAGGAAGTTTTTGATTACAGCAGGAGCAAGTACAATATTTCTTACAGAAACTGACAGCTCTAAGGCTAGGCTAAATACGTTGAAACAAATGATTGTATTGTTGCTGAAGACAAATGCATTTGTAAGTCTGATTCCTATAAAGATTAAATCTAATTTTAAAGTAATTTTAAATAATGTTTTTTTTTGTTTTTGAGCTTTGTTATATGATGTTTCCAGGCTTTCCTGAACAGCCAAGGTGGCTAAAAATGTTTTGAGTTTTGAAAACTAGATAACTTGAGTCTGAGGGACATAAACATAAGAGCTAACAATTGTGTAGCTCTATTGAGTGTCACCTTCACACCCACAGAAGCTTGATTGGAGCCACGTTTCCAGACATTGTAAAATAAGCTATCAAGGTGCAGTATTTTCTTGTGTCTTGCCCTATTTTAAAGGGTAAATATATATATATATATATATATATATACACACACATACATATATCTATAGCTACCTTAAAATAGTGTTCTATTGTGAATGAGGGATGGATCAGTTAAAATGAAAATGTGATTAAAAATGTAATTTAATGTGATTCAATGTGATTAAAAATTCCTAAGGCTTTTTCTAGCTAAATAGCATCTACAAGAAAAGCAATACCTTTTGCATAAATGTTCTCAAGAGCATAGAACTTCTGTGTTGTAAGAGAAGGGTGCCTGAAAGAATATAAATATTCTCAGGTACAGAAGTCAGCAGTAAGCCTAAAATAATGATCTGGTCATTTCAAGGAAGTCTGCCCAGATCACTGCCCTTTGTGGAGAACCATGGAATAGTACTAATGTTTAAACAGGATTTCCTACCTGGAGGAAGTTGGACCTTCCTAATTTTCATGCTTTCTTATTCTGCATTTGTTAAAATATTGCACTAGATGCCAAGTGTAATTAGAATTTCCTCAAACCAAAGTTTCTTACAAGTCAAGAGACAATTTCCAAACCATTTAGTAACCTAACTAGGGATATTTTCTTGGCACTTGGCCCCACGTAACATTTTCCTTGTTGAGTGTCTTAGATGTAATTAACGGCGAGCAGCGTGGTGTCTTCTTGAAGGGCAATTTCTTTTCTTCTCTCATAGCATCTTCCCAATCAAAGGCTGCTCAGCAATAAGCTTCCTATTTTTATCATGGGTCAGATGCACAGCTTGTGCTGATTAGCACAGCTGCACTGAAGGCTTAGATACAGCCTCACTCCAACAAAGACAAGCTTAAATAGTTAGATTACATGACAAATGTGTGAACATACTTGTAGAAGTCCCAGAATGATTTTATGTCTTTATGCAAGTAGAAGGAATCTTCCACCAACTGTATTTCCAGAAAGAGCAATACTTAAGATGACAAAATTGAATGAATTCCCAATAAACCCTGAGTTTTCTCATGGGATCTCAAGTTGAAGAAAATTAATTTTAACCTAGTGAGTCAGGATTCCATCTATAAAGAGGTGTAATGCCACATCTGGCAAGGGATATCTGCAGCAAGAAGCAGTTTTGTTTTGTTTTTTAAAGAAAGCTTTCAGTAATAGAAGTGAAGCGACTGTAGTTGTCTGTAGCTGGGAAACTGATGACTCAGACCCTATTCATGCTGTTGAAAGACTGTTTTATGAGACCCGTCAGAGTGGTGGGTGGACCTGGAGAGGAGTTGTTTGAAGGCAGACTTCATATGCAGTGATGTTTGCAGTGGTGTCTAATGATTGTCCCATCATATGCCACTAATGGCATATCCTTTTGGAGGTTTTCCTTAATCTTTGAGAGGTGAGGCTACAGAAAAGATCAGGACAGGGAATTTCACCATTTCTTTTATCTAAAAAGGTGTACTATCAGGTCAAAAAAGAACTGCTGAAGCAGCACTCTGCCTTTGAGGGCGAAAGAAAGTATTGGAGTTTGCTTTGACCCTGCTACACCCCTGTGTGTTACCATTTGTAACTAGTGACATTTTCCCATCAATAACAAAAGGGTATATTCCAAACCTGATGAACAAGACTGGAGCTGCCATGAATGCTAATAGGAATACAGCCTTTCTCCATCCCCATGTAAGTTACTTTGCATATCCTAATAGTGCATTCTCAATGAGCAACAGGGTCAGTGTTAATCACTCCATGGCATTCCAACAGCAACTCCACGAATCTGTATCACATTCCCCTTGGTTGTGTTATGTCTTATGTAGCCTGATCAGAGCTAGGATAGGAATATTAAAAAGATCTTAATAAATTAATAGAAAGGAATTATAAAGGAGATGTAAGTGGGCTGCAAAACTTGTTAGTAATTTTTAATTTAAAAAATCCCAGACATATTCTTTCCAGCTGGAAACTACCTACATGTCACGTGCCACCACTGTTTTTGTAAGTCATTATATGATTTGGGAACACAGGGCTAGATTTGCATTTAGATAGCTAGTGTCAGTTATCTAAATGTATGTTTTAATTGCTTGAATGGCATGATTAGTTATGACTCATTAAGAGAATCACACAGAAATAAATATGCAGCCTATCTGTCTCTGTTCTCTGCTTGGTAATTAGGAATGGTAGGAAAATCTTAGGAAATAGTAATGTTGAGGTAGATCTGCAGCTCCAGTGGAGACCAAATAAAGTCATTAAGCTGTGACTGTAAGAAGCAGTAAGAGAAGCTACTTAAGACGCGAGAACTATGCAAGAAGCAAATAATGCTAAATGTACAGACACTGTGTAGTCTGTTCTTCAGTGGAAATATTTACATGTTTACATTTAGCTGTAATGATAGAATCATTTAGGCTGGAAAATACTATTAAGGTCATTGCGTCCAACCGTTGATCCTCAAAACTAGCCAAAACCCTTTTTAGTTAGCAAGGTTCCAACAAGAAGAATGGATTAAAAATTACCACAAAATTTAATTGTTTAATTTAATATTGTTATGGTTTTAATGAGAATAAATGAAAAAAGGTCCTTGGATTGAGACTGTATTTTCTCTACTTCATATTTCACATATTTGTGGTTTCCCTTTGGTTACTTGATGAGAATGAGTTACTTTTTAAATTAATTTTATTTAAATTTAATGTGTATTCAAAATAAAAATATGCTATGTGTCTTCCATAACGCAGCCAGTAGGGTGCATTGGTTGTTTGATATTTAGTTTTCAAAAAAATGTAAAGAACTGCATATTTGCTTCTGATTTACATTTTATTTTATTCTGCTCAAGTATCCTCTGAATAAGAAAATCTATCAGTTATGGTAAAAACAGTATGCAAAAATGGAGTATAGATTCTTGAAAATTTCTTTCAGAGTATTCACAGATGAATTTTCCTATTTGTATAACTCTATTGATGAATAAGTGTTTCTGTAGTGTGATAAGTGAAGTGGGTTTTTTGAAGGTCTTTTTTGTTTGTTTTGTTGGCTTTTTGTTTGTTTGTTTGTGAGTTTCAAAGATTATCATATATTCCTTCCTATTTTTGCAGGATGATTTTTGCTGTAATAAAGAGTAGGAATAGCTGTTACTTTTTGATATGTTTTCCCTGAGTAAAGTAAAGAATCATTTCATTATTCATCTTGTTTTTTCTCTGAGGGAATTTTCACACTGTCCTCAAGTCTTTACCATGTTTATTTTTAATGAATTAAACATTCAGAATTTGTTATCTTCTGCTCTCTGCTTTCTCTAGCTCTCAGTTTTTGGTAATTTGATTTGTTTGGATCCTTTGTGGGTTTCAGCATTGTTTTTAAAATGCGGACACCGTTTATGCAACTTCAAATATTCTCCCCATTTGTGCTATATACAAAAGTAAATGATTCCACCACACCAACTGTTATTCACTAATCTGCTGTTGATCAGTGTATCTGAAGATTGCAGTGTTTTTTGTTATTCCTGTCACAGAATCACATTGGACACTTATGGTAAGCCTCTTCTCTGTTTGAGTTTCTTCAGATGGAAATGGTCCAGAAGACTTATATTTTAGCTTTGAAGGTATTCAGCAGTGTTAACATGACTTGTTTTAATGGAGCCAGCTTACCAGGTGAGCTGTATCACTGTAATATTGTCATTTCCTTTCTGCTAATACTTACGTC